CTCCCTCCCTCCTTTCCTCCTTTCTCTCCTTCCCTTCCTTCCTTCCTTCCTCCCTCCCTCCCTCCTTCCCTCCTTTCCCTCCTTCCTTCCTTCCTCCCTCCCTCCTTCCCTCCTTTCTCTCCTTCCCTCCCTTCCTTCCTTCCTTCCTTCCTTCCTTCCTTCCTTCCTTCCTTCTTCTTTTCTATAAAAAGGATTGAACCCAGGGCCACGTGCTTGCTAAGGAAGCACTCTATCACTGAGCTACACCCCCAGCTCTGAGTACCTTTCTTTCTTTTCCTTTTTACTGTCATGAAGAATAAGAAAAAATTACAGCAAATAACTTTGACTGACTCAAGGGAGCACATAGGCTTAAAAAACCCACTGGACTGTGACATTTGAAGGTGTTTAAGGAGACCTACAAAGTAGAATAACATGATAACACCTCTCTAGAAATCACCAAGAGTGGTTCACTTGGAGAGAAGTAAAAATGCTCTATAATAAAAAATAATTGGGGTTGACTAGATAGAGGAAAGGGGAGGAAGGGAGAAAATCACACAAAAATATTCTCCAGACCCTTGTGTCTTTGAGTGTCCCTTTTCAGCAATTCCTCAAGTCCCTCCCACTTTCTCTGACTCTGGTGAAAGTGCTCACGGCTTCCAGAACAAATATCACAAACTGGGTGGTTGGAAAAACAGAAATTTACTTTCTCACAATTCCAGAAGCCAGGAATCTGAAACCAAAGTGTGGGAAGTGCTGGTTCTGGATGATTCCAGAGACTATCCGGCCCATGCTTCATTCCAGGCTGCTGGTGGCTGTCACCAGTCCTCGGTACCTCTTGTTATGTAGACACATCACCCCTGTCTCTGCCTCTCCTGTTCCACAGTGATTCTCTCCATCCAAATTTCCTCTCCTCATAAAGACATCAGTCACATGGGACCTGGTCTATGGATGAGCTTCTTTTAACTTGATTGTGCCTGCCAGGACCCTCTTTCCAAATACCATCTCACACTCACAGTAAGGGGGGATGGTTAGGATTTCAACACAGTTTGGAATGTCTTCTAACCCACTGGCCTGACCAAGTGAACAGAAATCTGCAGTTGGCCCCAGGCACAGGGGAGGGCTGTGTGGATGTGGCCTCCTGTGGCTAGGAAGCCCAGGCCAGGAGCAAACCTTGCAGGACCCTTTGGCATACACACACTGAGCACTGCAGGGGTTTTGCTGACGGTTTCTTTCCAGTTTCCATTGTCTTCCTAGCCCTTGGGTGTTCTTCAACTCTTAGTCCAGGAAATTTATTTTTAGTTTAATGAATAAATTATATGCTTTATAAACGATTAATGAAAAAACAACAACAACAACAACGGCTTTTGACTGGATCAGGGCCTACAGTTCGGGCCTCTTGCACTCTTCTTAATTTGTTCCCTTCCATCTGCATCAGCTACAGGAGAGGACCGCTCCACTTGACCTTTTCAGCCCAGTGATCCCCTGCACAAGGAGGTTGTGTCCTCACTCAGCAGCGGTCAGCTGGTGACATGCGACAGGTTCCGAGATTAAACAGCTACCACTCCTCAATCTGCTTTCAAGTGTCTGAGTTGCCCACGTTTCCTTGTTTTGGAATATCAGCAGAGGTGGGGGTGGTGATGCTTTCAACTGGGCCGAGCCAGCAAATCGGACGTTTGCAAGATCCGCACGTTATCTCGGGCCTGACGTCTTGTTCACATTCTTGCGCTGGCTCAGGTTTCCTGAGCACATGCACATGGTCTTATTTTGGGGCCAATTCTGGAAGTTTGAGTCAGCTACTTTTTAGTTACTGCTGCCAGAAAGTGAATTTTGTTTTCGGCCAACAGTGCCCTGGGAAATTTTTTTTTTTTTGCCGTTCTAGTTCTGAAAAGTACTGGTCTTTCATTTTTCACAAACAGTTCCTTTTTGACAGTGTTAGTAAAACGACCCGTTTATCCAAATTAAAGACTTTTGAGGGTCTCCTGGGGCTCTTGCACTACAGTGCCCTCTAGTGGTCAATTAGTGGTACTCATGGCTGTCCTGAGGTTTTCAAGGGAATGCTAAGAACGTGCTTTGACAAACTGAGTCTCTGGTACATTGGGCTCCTACTTGGTTTCTTGTATTATTTTGTTTTGAACCCCAACTAAGTTTCAACACTTGACTTCAGCACATGACTGCTTTGTGTAAATGTATAA